TGGACGGAATGACCAAAAGGTACAGTACCACTGACAGGTTTTAAATGGACGGAATGACCATAAGGTAAAGTACCACTGACAGGTTCTAAATGGACGGAATGACCATAAGGTACAGTACCACTGACAGGTTCTAAATGGACGGAATGACCATAAGGTACAGTACCACTGACAGGTTCTAAATGGACGGAATGACCATAAGGTACAGTACCACTGACAGGTTCTAAATGGACGGAATGACCATAAGGTACAGTACCACTGACAGGTTCTAAATGGACGGAATGACCATAAGGTACAGTACCACTGACAGGTTCTAAATGGACGGAATGACCATAAGGTACAGTACCACTGACAGGTTCTAAATGGACGGAATGACCAAAAGGTACAGTACCACTGACAGGTTCTAAATGGACGGAATGACCATAAGGTACAGTACCACTGACAGGTTCTAAATGGACGGAATGACCATAAGGTACAGTACCACTGACAGGTTCTAAATGGACGGAATGACCATAAGGTACAGTACCACTGACAGGTTCTAAATGGACGGAATGACCATAAGGTACAGTACCACTGACAGGTTCTAAATGGACGGAATGACCATAAGGTACAGTACCACTGACAGGTTCTAAATGGACGGAATGACCATAAGGTACAGTACCACTGACAGGTTCTAAATGGACGGAATGACCATAAGGTACAGTACCACTGACAGGTTCTAAATGGACGGAATGACCATAAGGTACAGTACCACTGACAGGTTCTAAATGGACGGAATGACCATAAGGTACAGTACCACTGACAGGTTCTAAATGGACGGAATGACCATAAGGTACAGTACCACTGACAGGTTCTAAATGGACGGAATGACCATAAGGTACAGTACCACTGACAGGTTCTAAATGGACGGAATGACCATAAGGTACAGTACCACTGACAGGTTCTAAATGGACGGAATGACCATAAGGTACAGTACCACTGACAGGTTCTAAATGGACGGAATGACCATAAGGTACAGTACCACTGACAGGTTCTAAATGGACGGAATGACCATAAGGTACAGTACCACTGACAGGTTCTAAATGGACGGAATGACCATAAGGTACAGTACCACTGACAGGTTCTAAATGGACGGAATGACCATAAGGTACAGTACCACTGACAGGTTCTAAATGGACGGAATGACCATAAGGTACAGTACCACTGACAGGTTCTAAATGGACGGAATGACCATAAGGTACAGTACCACTGACAGGTTCTAAATGGACGGAATGACCATAAGGTACAGTACCACTGACAGGTTCTAAATGGACGGAATGACCATAAGGTACAGTACCACTGACAGGTTCTAAATGGACGGAATGACCATAAGGTACAGTACCACTGACAGGTTCTAAATGGACGGAATGACCATAAGGTACAGTACCACTGACAGGTTCTAAATGGACGGAATGACCATAAGGTACAGTACCACTGACAGGTTCTAAATGGACGGAATGACCATAAGGTACAGTACCACTGACAGGTTCTAAATGGACGGAATGACCATAAGGTACAGTACCACTGACAGGTTCTAAATGGACGGAATGACCATAAGGTACAGTACCACTGACAGGTTCTAAATGGACGGAATGACCATAAGGTACAGTACCACTGACAGGTTCTAAATGGACGGAATGACCATAAGGTACAGTACCACTGACAGGTTCTAAATGGACGGAATGACCATAAGGTACAGTACCACTGACAGGTTCTAAATGGACGGAATGACCATAAGGTACAGTACCACTGACAGGTTCTAAATGGACGGAATGACCATAAGGTACAGTACCACTGACAGGTTCTAAATGGACGGAATGACCATAAGGTACAGTACCACTGACAGGTTCTAAATGGACGGAATGACCATAAGGTACAGTACCACTGACAGGTTCTAAATGGACGGAATGACCATAAGGTACAGTACCACTGACAGGTTCTAAATGGACGGAATGACCATAAGGTACAGTACCACTGACAGGTTCTAAATGGACGGAATGACCATAAGGTACAGTACCACTGACAGGTTCTAAATGGACGGAATGACCATAAGGTACAGTACCACTGACAGGTTCTAAATGGACGGAATGACCATAAGGTACAGTACCACTGACAGGTTCTAAATGGACGGAATGACCATAAGGTACAGTACCACTGACAGGTTCTAAATGGACGGAATGACCATAAGGTACAGTACCACTGACAGGTTCTAAATGGACGGAATGACCATAAGGTACAGTACCACTGACAGGTTCTAAATGGACGGAATGACCATAAGGTACAGTACCACTGACAGGTTCTAAATGGACGGAATGACCATAAGGTACAGTACCACTGACAGGTTCTAAATGGACGGAATGACCATAAGGTACAGTACCACTGACAGGTTCTAAATGGACGGAATGACCATAAGGTACAGTACCACTGACAGGTTCTAAATGGACGGAATGACCATAAGGTACAGTACCACTGACAGGTTCTAAATGGACGGAATGACCATAAGGTACAGTACCACTGACAGGTTCTAAATGGACGGAATGACCATAAGGTACAGTACCACTGACAGGTTCTAAATGGACGGAATGACCATAAGGTACAGTACCACTGACACGTTCTAGATGGACGGAATGACCAAAAGGTACAGTACCACTGACAGGTTCTAAATGGACGGAATGGCCAAAAGGTACAGTACCACTGACAAGTTCTAAATGGACGGAATGACCAAAAGGTACAGTACCACTGACAGGTACAGTACCACTGACCATAATTTACAGTACCACTGACAGGTACAGTACCACTGACCATAAGGTACAGTACCACTGACCATAAGGTACAGTACCACTGACAGTAACACGCTTACTTTGTTTTACTTTCTGTATATATTCAAGTATATGCCTTAGTTGTCTAGTAGCTTTAAGTTCACCTGGCTCATTATTGTCAAAATATGAAACTAACAATATACGTAAACAATCAACATTTTCGACTTCTTCTCCAAAACCCCTGAACCAATTTCAATGAGATTTTGCAGAAGCCTTCCATGGCCAAAATTATGAATTATATGGTCCCCAGCCCTCAGGGGCCTGAGGGGTGGGGCCAAAAAAGGTCGAATTGACTGAAATTTCAAAAAGTTTCTTCTCAAGAACCAGATATGGTAGAATCAAATACTCTTCATAGATGGAGGGTCTCAATGCGCTTTACCAAAATTGTGAATTTGATGACCCTGGGGTCTCACGTTTGCCCCTGCGGAGGGGGTAAACTTTACTATGGTTTACTTGTGAATTATATGGTCCCGAGCCCACAGGGGCCTTAGGGGCCTTAGGGGCGTTGCCGAAAAGGGTCAAATTGATTAAAATTTCAAAAATCTTCCTCTCAAGATCCAGATATGGTAGAATCGTATACTCTTCATAGATGGAAGGGTCTTAAGGTGCTTTACCAAAATTCAGCTGACAGATAGAACCACTATTTGTGTACATAGTACAAATACTACCCAGATCTTTCACACTACTTTTGCATTAAATGTAGTTCAAGTTACCTTTGTTACAAATTATTTCTTTTTCATTTGGCAACATCGATAACATCAGTCTTTACATAACTCAGGTGACCGTTAAGGCCCATGGGCCTCTTTTTACATACATAACTTACAAAGGGACGCGTTTTGCTATCATGCTGTTTTAAAAGGTCCATACTGATTAACTGCTCACATATTGAACCCCAAGTGATCTTCTAAACTAACCTTACAGGACCAGTGCGTCCGGTGTAAATTAATTTACCAAAATAAATATTTGATTAACCGTATACGGACAGTCACACGACCGACATAACTGGGAACCATGTTAATTGTTATTCGGATCTGAAAATCCATTTACAGTATCAAAATATTTCATGTATTAAGTACCTAATGTCCAGAAGTCATTGATTTATCGTGCAGCAGTAATAATAGCATTAAATGCTAAAGGCACTATGTCCAATTGATCTTGTTCAATAATCCTTCATCAATTAATATTAGGTCTACAAACTCACATTCGGTAAACATTCTGCCCGAGGTCGATCGATACTATGGCTGTAAAGGTAACTCGGCAAGGTGATGCTGGTACGAAATGCCTTAACAAGATTTCCTGTGTTTGATGGGATGTCTTATCATTCGAAATCGTACACAAACAGCCTCTGTAATCATCGCTACGCTTCTAACACGTGAGTTTTTACCAATGGGACCCAATGCACGCCAGTAACCTTGGAATGTTGGGTGGTGTTCTACTATAAAATTATACCTATTTGTTGTTGATTTAACGTATGTTATTGTGTTATCGTAACAATATCACATATCGGTCGGTCTTGTAAATAATTTTCGTTGCTATAATATTAATAATGTAGATAAGTTTGTGATTTATTACTGTGAAAATTTAGCATTGCTCTTAATTCTTCACCTTCAATTTTTCAGGATAAAAACTATATCTATTTTTTTCATTTTATCGTTATATGATTTTAGTATAATTCCCTGATTTTATAATTCAAAAGGCATCCTGTTTTTCCTTGTTGTGTGTCTGGATATATGTATTTAATTGATTTTTTTCAGTTAAATTTTGGCGTCTTGAATGTTTTATCTATAAATCCCTGGTTTTGATGCACTTTCTGCTATTGATTTTTCCCTATTTTGTTTTTGAAACGTCTAATTGAGAATTGAAAATGAAAAATTAACAAAACAGGATTGATTGTATTATTGGTATCACCAGAGGTAGGGGTTACCAAGATATCGAAGCTTCCATTATGTGAAATAAAAGCCAAATACAAATGAATAAAAGGGCAATGATAAAGTTCAGATAGCCGTTATCCTGCTGGCAGGACCACACCATGTTAGTCCTACTGTCAGTACGTTTTTTCTTCCTGTGTTAGTCTAGATCGTGCACGTGATGAGGTTGTGTGTTGGTATGTAAAAGAATCGTATGGAACCCTTTAAGAAGACGAAGATGTGTCCACGTGTAAGACATTCGGACCGTTGTACGAAGATGTGTCCACGTGTAAGACATTCGGACCGTTGTACGAAGATGAAGACACGTGTATGGACTGTGGCACTGAAGATAATGATCCTCCTCGCTGTGGGTGAGACACAAGGTAAGTGTGCACGATATCTGTCTCGCGTAACCACACCTATTGATCATGCTATCTAAGTGTAAACCATTTATTCACAAAATAATCAACGGACTATTACATAAAAACATCTATATTTTTAAGATGTATTATTACTAAAGTGTTGCAACAGAATATAAAGCTACATGTGTGTTGTAAATGTATACTAAGGTTACATGGATGTATGTGTGTGTCTACAGTGTAAGCAGTTTATGAAAAAAAACGATAATCTTTAACAACGCAGTAAAACGGTTCTACACATTGACACATAATTATGTACCATCTTTATACAAATTCAAGTATTTGGATGAACTGCTTTACATTCTAGGTGATACATATAACGAAAGTACATTAACACATCATCTGAGTGCATTATAAGCAACACTGCATATCATATATTGATTTATTTTTCATGAAACATAACTTTTTTTTATAAAATCACCTCAGAGCGATCCAAAAGCAATACTAGATCACTTTAAACAAGAAAGGAAAAATTTCATAATAAAACAAAATCTAATCATTCCTTGTGTTAACATTGCGAATTTGTTGATCAAGATTGTGTTAACAAGGTTGAAATGACAGTCACCGAGAGATTGTTAAACAAGTGTGAAATGACAGTCACAGAGATATTGTTTAACAGACAGTCACCGAGAGATTGCCAAACAAGTGGGAAATGACAGTCACCGAGAAATTGTTAAACAAGTGTGAAATGACAGACACCGAGAAATTGTTAAACAAGTGTGAAATGACAGTCACCGAGAGATTGTCAAACAAGTGTGAAATGACAGTCACCGAGAGATTGCCAAACAAGTGTGAAATGACAGTCACCGAGAAATTGTTTAACAAGTGTGAAATGACAGTCACCGAGAGATTGTTAAACAAGGGTGAAATGACAGTTGCCGAGAGATCGTTAAACAAGTGTTAAATGACAGTCACCGAGAGATTGTCAAACAAGTGTGAAATGACAGTCTCCGAGAAATTGTTTAACTAGTGTGAAATGACAGCCGAGAGATTGTCAAACAAGGGTGAAAAGACAGTCACCGAGAGATTGGTAAACAAGTGTGAAATAACAGTCACCGAGATATTGTTAAACAAGTGTGACATGACAGTCACCGAGATATTGTTAAACAAGGGTGAATTGACAGTCACCGAGAGATTGTAAAACAAGTGTGAAATAACAGTCACCGAGATATTGTTAAACAAGGGTGAATTGACAGTCACCGAGAGCTTGTTAAACAAGGGTGAAATGACAGTCACCGAGAGATTGTTAAACAAGTGTGAAATGACAATCACCAAGAGATTGTTAAACAAGTGTGAAATGACAGTCACCGAGATATTGTTAAACAAGTGTGATATGACAGTCACCGAGAGATTGTCAAACAACTGTGAAATGATAGTCACCGAGAAATTTTTTAACAAGTGTGGAATGACAGTCACCGAGAAATTGTTAAACAAGTGTGAAATGACAATCACCGAGAGATTGTCAAACAAGTGTGAAATGATAGTCACCGAGAAATTGTTTAACAAGTGTGAAATGACAGTCACCGGGAAATTGTTAAACAAGTGTGAAATGACAGTTGCCGAGAGATCGTTAAACAAGTGCGAAATGACAGTCACCGAGAGATTGTTAAACAAGTGTGAAATGACAGTCACCAAGAGATTGTCAAACAAGGGTGAAATGACAATCACCGAGAGATTGTTTAACAAGTGTGAAATGACAGTCACCGAGAGATTGTTTAACAAGTGTGAAATGACAGTCCCCGAGAGATTGTCAAACAAGTGTGAAATGATAGTCACCGAGAAATTTTTTAACAAGTGTGAAATGACAGTCACCGAGAAATTGTTAAACAAGTGTATTGTCAAACAAGTGTGAAATGACAGTCACCGAGAGATTTTTAAACAAGTGTGAAATGAGTCACCGAGAGATTGTTAAACAAGTGTGAAATGACAGTCACTGAGAGATTGTCAAACAAGTGTGAAATGACAGTCACAGAGATATTGTTTAACAAGTGTGAAATGACAGTCACCGAGAGATTGTCAAACAAGTGTGAAATGATAGTCACCGAGAAATTTTTTAACAAGTGTGAAATGACAGTCACCGAGAAATTGTTAAACAAGTGTATTGTCAAACAAGTGTGAAATGACAGTCACCGAGAAATTGTTAAACAAGTGTGAAATGACAGTTGCCGAGAGATTGTTAAACAAGGGTGAAATGACAGTCACCGAGAGATTGTTAAACAAGTGTGATATGACAGTCACCGAGAGATTGTCAAACAAGTGTGAAATGACAGCCGAGAGATCGTTAAACAAGGTTGAAATGACAGTCATCGAGAGATTGCTAAACAACTGTGAAATGACAGTCACCGAGAGATCGCTAAACAAGTGTGAAATGACAGTCACCGAGAGATTGTTAAACAAGTGTGAAATGACAGTTGCCGAGAGATTGTTAAACAAGGGTGAAATGACAGTCACCGAGAGATTGTTAAACAAGTGTGATATGACAGTCACCGAGAGATTGTCAAACAAGTGTGAAATGATAGTCACCGAGAAATTTTTTAACAAGTGTGAAATGACAGTCACCGAGAAATTGTTAAACAAGTGAAAAATGACAGTTGCCGAGAGATCCTTAAACAAGTGTGAAATGACAGTCACCGAGAAATTGTTAAACAAGTGAAAAATGACAGTTGCCGAGAGATCCTTAAACAAGTGTGAAATGACAGTCACCGAGAAATTGTTAAACAAGTGAAAAATGACAGTTGCCGAGAGATCCTTAAACAAGTGTGAAATGACAGTCACCGAGAAATTGTTAAACAAGTGTATTGTCAAACAAGTGTGAAATGACAGTCACCGAGAGATTGTTTAACAAGTGTGAAATGATAGTCACAGAGATATTGTTTAACAAGTGTGAAATGACAGTCACCGAGATATTGTTTAACAAGTGTGAAATGACAGTCACCGAGATATTGTTTAACAAGTGTGAAATGACAGTCACCGAGAGATTGTAAAACAAGTGTGAAATGACAGTCACCGAAAGATTGTTAAACAAGTGTGAAATGACAGTCACCGATAGATTGTTAAACAAGTGTTAAATGACAGTCACCGAACCGAGAGATTGTCAAACAAGTGTGAAATGACAGTCACCAAGAGATTGTCAAACAAGGGTGAAATGACAATCACCGAGAGATTGTTTAACAAGTGTGAAATGATAGTCACAGAGATATTGTTTAACAAGTGTGAAATGACAGTCACCGAGAGATTGTCAAGCAAGTGTGAAATGACAGTCACCGAGAGATTGTTAAACAAGAGTGAAATGACAGTCACCGAGAGATTGTCAAACAAGTGTGAAATGACAGCCGAGAGATCGTTAAACAAGGTTGAAATGACAGTCATCGAGAGATTGCTAAACAACTGTGAAATGACAGTCACCGAGAGATCGCTAAACAAGTGTGAAATGACAGTCACCGAGAGATTGTTAAACAAGGGTGAAATGACAGTATATCTAACGATTGAAGTAACAAGGGTGAAATGACATTTTGCCTAACCATTTTTGTAACAAGGTTGAAATGGTAGTATAACTTTAGATTGCATTAACAAGGGTGAAATGACAGACCACTGAACTCTTGTGTTGAGTCGATTTGACAGGGTCCCACATATAAGACTTACCGGCAACAAATACAAAGCATGATCGTTAGTTTCATTGATACCCGTTAACTCATGTGCCTTATTTCATTTCCACTTTTAAATGTTTTAAACATATCTTATTTAAGTCTATCAGCTACCTGATACCATAGACAGCAATAATACAGTAATGTTACTGTAATGTACATACTTATTGTGTTGTTGTATATATAAAATTGCGAAATGCACCTATAGTCTGTGGTCGAGGAATACCTGGTGACCTTTTGTCTGTCTGCTGCATATATATATATATTGAGGCTTTTAATTTGTTTTGATTAATATATTGACGTGTAATTCATTATTCAACCTCGATGGTTACGTGAGCCAGTGCTTAGGAACTTATTTGTTGAATCCAGTGTCACGTCAAAAGCTTAAATGATTCAGATATAACGCCATCATTGCCCATGGGTTATTTACACAATTAAAAACTTTGCTATTATAATGATAACTTAAGTGATTAGATTACACCGCTGGTATTATGAATTGCTATTGGGTATATCATTGCCGATCTCACCACATTATTTATGGAATTGATACAGTTCACATTTAGTACAATACATGCTGCTGACAACATTATGGTCATGTTATTTATTTTACAATCTGTAGGTATCTTTGTGTTATCGAGAGGAGATATATCACAGCTTTAGTACCGGGTACACGTGTCTTGGCATCACGTGTCACGGTTTTAATACCGGGTATACGTGTCTTGACATCACGTGTCACTGCTTTAATACCGGGTATACGTATCTTGACATCACGTGTCACAGCTTTAATACCGGGTACACGTGTCTTGACATCACGTGTCACAGCTTAAAACCGGGTATACGTGTCTTGACATCACGTGTCACAGCTTTAATACCAGGGACACGTGGCTTGACATCACGTGTCACAGCTTTAATACCAGGGACACGTGGCTTGACATCACGTGTCACAGCTTTAATACCGGGTTCACGTGTCTTGGCATCACGTGTCACAGCTTTGATACCGGGTATACGTGTCTTGACATCACGTGTCACAGCTTTAATACCTGGTATACGTGTCTTGGTATACGTGTCTTGACATCACGTGTCACATCTTTAATACCGGGTACACGTGTCTTGTCATCACGTGTCACAGTTTTAATACCGGGTATACGTGTCTTGACATCACATGTCACAGCTTAAAACCGGGTATACGTGTCTTGACATCACGTGTCGCAGCTTTAATACCGGGTATACGTGTCTTGAAATCACGTGTCACAGCTTTAATACCGGTTATACGTGTCTTGACATCACGTGTCACTGCTTAAATACCGGGTATACGTGTCTTGACATCACATGTCACAGCTTTAATACCGGGTATACATGTCTTGACCTCACGTGTCACAGCTTTAATACCGGGTATACATTTCTTGACATCACGTGTCACAGCTTTAATACCAGGTACACGTGTCTTGACATCACGTGTCACTGCTTTAATACCGGGTACACGTGTCTTGACATCGCGTGTCACAGCTTTAATACCGGGTATACATGTCTTGACATCACGTGTCACAGCTTTAATCCCGGGTACACGTGTCTTGGCATCACGTGTCACGGTTTTAATACCGGGTATACGTGTCTTGACATCCCGTGTCTGACATCACGTGTCACAGCTTAAAACCGGGTATACGTGTCTTGACATCACGTGTCGCAGCTTTAATACCGGGTATACGTGTCTTGTCATCACGTGTCACAGCTTTAATACCAGGTACACGTGTCTTGACATCACGTGTCACAGCTTAAAACCGGGTATACGTGTCTTGACATCACGTGTCACAGTTTTAATACCGGGTATACGTGTCTTGACATCCCGTGTCTGACATCACGTGTCACAGCTTAAAACCGGGGATACGTGTCTTGACATCACGTGTCACAGCTTTAATCCCGGGTACACGTGTCTTGGCATCACGTGTCACGGTTTTAATACCGGGTATACGTGTCTTGACATCCCGTGTCACAGCTTAAAACCGGGTATACGTGTCTTGACATCACGTGTCACATCTTTAATACCGGTAATACGTGTCTTGACATCACGTGTCACTGTTTTAGTACCGGTTATGCTTGTCTTGACATCACGTGTCACAGCTTTAGTGCCGGGTATACGTGTCTTGACATCACGTGTCGCAGCTTTAATACCGGGTATACGTGTCTTGACATCACGTGTCACAGCTTTAATACCGGGTATACGAGTCTTGACATTACGTGTCACAGCTTTGATACCGGGTATACGTGTCTTGACATCACGTGTCACAGCTTTAATACCAGGTATACGTGTCTTGACAGCACGTGTCACAGCTTTAATACCAGGTACACGTGTCTTGACATCACGTGTCACTGCTTTAATACCGGGTATACGAGTCTTGACATCACGTGTCACAGCTTTAATTCCGGGTACACGTGTCTTGGCATCACGGGTCACAGCTTTAATACCGGGTTTACGTGTCTTGGCCACCCGTGTCACAGCTTTAATACCGGGTATACGTGTCTTGACATCACGTGTCACAGCTTTAATACCGGGTATACGTGTCTTGACATCCCGTGTCACAGCTTTAATACCGGGTTCACGTGTCTTGGCATCACGTGTCACAGCTTTAATACCGGGTATACGCGTCTTGACATCCCGTGTCACAGCTTTAATACCGGGTTCACGTGTCTCGGCATCACGTGTCACAGCTTTAATACCGGGTATACGCGTCTTGACATCCCGTGTCACAGCTTTAATACCGGGTTCACGTGTCTTGGCATCACGTGTCACAGCTTTAATACCGGGTACACGTGTCTTGACATCACGTTTCACTGCTTTAATACCGGGTATACGTGTCTTGACATCACGTGTCACTGCTTTAATACCGGGTATACGTGTCTTGACATCACGTGTGACAGCTTTAGTACCGGTTATACGTGTCTTGACATCACGTGTCACTGCTTTAATACCGGGTATACGTGTCTTGAAATCACGTGTCACAGCTTTAATACCGGTTATACGTGTCTTGACATCACGTGTCACAGCTTTAATACCGGGTATATGTGCCTTGACATCACGTGTCACAGCTTTAATACCTGGTATACGTGTCTTGACATCACGTGTCACAGCTTTAATACCGGGTACACGTGTCTTGACATCACGTGTCACAGCTTTAATACCGGTTATACGTGTCTTGACATCACGTGTCACAGTTTTAATACCGGGTACAAGTGTCTTGACATCACGTGTCACATTTTTAATACCGGGTAGACGTGTCTTGACATCACGTGTCACAGCTTTAATACCGGGTATACGTGTCTTGACATCACGTGTCAGTGGTTTTTGTTGTACCGTTTTTGACGAAACCTATATTTTTTACTGATAATTTTCTTACAAATAAATAACACTTAAACACATTATTTGCTTTTCAACACTATGATGATAAATGAATTTTAAGTCATAGTTACAAGTAAATAATTATATACTTAATGACTAAAACCTTTTTACAGGTGCAGATTTCAATATGAAGAATATTAATTTGATCGTGAATAGGAGTCAGCCTGGTGTAGTCCGGTACTATAGTGCCACGCTGCGGGGTACGTTCAACCTATTCCTGATGTGTCGGTCTTAGATTACTTTGTCTTTGCCCATAGCATCCTTTGCATTCAACTCATTTGGTACAACAATAATTCCTTCATATAACAATATCCTTATATTTAAAAAAGCTGGGAACACAAAGCGTATTAAGACTGATTATCAAACTAAATCAATCACGTGCTCTAACATGTCATTTTTTATTTGTATTTCATTTGTTCAGCTATTGTGATCTTTTACCAGAACATTTAAAATAATAATAACCAATCGAAAGACGATGGGCAGATTAATGTGTTTTGTATAATAAATTTCATTTGAGAATTGATTATATAATATTGAAGATTTTTGTAAATATATTGAAGTTTCTGACGTAGTGTAAGTGAACTGTATTCTATATGTTGATTACTTCCTTAACGTTTGCCTTCCAACAATCTTGTTACTTTAGACCTTCAAAACAAATAGAATATTAACAGTGTATTCTCCGTGCTTTTAGACCAATCTCCATTTTTGGTGTTTGTCTATGATCCGACTGTGGGACCGGAAGTCATAGATGAGTGTGGGATGTCCGTTGTCGTCTGCCTGTATGATCGATGTCAGTTTCCTTCAGAGCACCTAGTGACGCTACAGTCTCCTCAGCTAAGATATGGCACCCTACTTACACGTCTGTTGACGAGTGGGTATGATCAGCACAAGGAGCTCATCATCCTCAACGACGAGGACATGCAGAGTATGTGCCATCTGTATCTGTTCACGGGGGATGCTTTTGTATGTTGTATTGTGGAGTTTAACATTTCCTTATAATCTTAGTTAGGTTGTTTCTAAACCGCCACTTGATTAAAAAATGACACAAATACTTTGCTTTTATAGATTTATATCATAAAATAGTACACACTACGGAGTTGTATGGGGTGGGGATATTTAATCATTTGACGATTTTATCTTTAACACCGATTGCTAGATTCTAACGACAAAATTGCGTCGCTCATGAACGATCGGATACATTTTACTTATTTATGGCTTCGTTTATTTTCAGTGCCATTGTCGTTCTTGCTAGAGAACGTGCAGTCCGTTGATGTTGTTCTAGTGGATATCAAATTGTCTGAGAGGAATTTCCTAGACTCATTGCGGAAAGTCCTGTCTCGCTCGGATTCACGAAAATTCATCTTCCTCGGAACGCCACCACTGGTTAAGAACGTCACACATTTGGTAGTAGATGTTTACGAAGGGCTCATCAATGTACTCTATTTCTTCAAATAATTCTGTTAACGACCTTGTTTTAAGAGTCTTTACATTATAATTGCTTGTACGTATGGTATTGCTATGAAATAAAAGCAACACTTTGATACAAAACGTTTAAAATTCGAGAATCAGTAAATGTCATTACCTGATTTATCTGATATCAATAATATTTTAGAAATTATTTCTGTTTGTTCTGTGTAGATATCAGACCTGATGCCTTTAGTGGCCGATACCATTTGGTTGTTACTGGATACACAAGGCGTTCTTCCCATATGCAACCCATGTGACAGTGCTATCAATATACTTAGAGATGACTATGTACAACAACTTGAAACGACTGTAAGTAGTCCCCGAATTCTTTCACTTTCGGAATTTTACATATAGCACAATCTGGAACTTAAAATGATTCAACGATAAAGTCAGGTTTTCTTGCATCTATGGCATACATTGCAAACACCTGTAATAGAAAAAAAATATAGAAAAGCTTATACTACATCAGCCCAAAATTATGGCCACTCGAAAATATCTTCACTGTGAATAGTTTAATAAAAAGTCCAAAGTATTTAATTTTACAGGATTTCCATGCATTAAAACAAGAAGTATTACATATTTGTGTATAGTTAATGTAACATTTAACATTTCATGTTTTCTTTTGTCAGATTGAGTCAGTTGTCCGCCGAGTGCTGAACACGTCACAATTTTACACAGAAGGTGGGATCGATCAGCTGTCACTTCGCTCGGAATTAAAACAGGTAATCAAACGTAAATATGTGTTACATCTCTAAGTGTATTGATAGCATCTTACAGGAAAGTCAATCGTGAATATGTGTTACATCTCTAAGTATATTGATAGCATCTTACAGGAAAGTCAAACGTAAACATGTGTTACGAGGTGGGTGGATCACTTCAGAACTAAACACGGAAGTCAGAAGTAAACACGTATGCAAAGGGATGCGAGATAGGATACGAATCTTACAGAAAAGTAAAACGTAAATACGTGTTGGAAAGAGGGTGGGTCACTTAAATCAGAACTAAACAAGGAAGTCAGAAGTAAATATTCATTAGAAGGAATGGGTCACTTGGATCTGAACCTTACAGGAACGTTTAACGTAAATAAGCTTGATGAAGTAGATGGATCACTTATGTCTGAACTAAACATGTAATGATAAGTAAAGGTGTGGATCACTTTTATCTAAACTCTAACTGGAAATTAAATATGTGTAAGAATGTGGGATAACTTGCTAAACAGGTAGTGATAAGTAAGTATGTGGGGTTGATCACTTTGCTCTTTACTAAACAGGTAGTGATAAGTAAGTATGTGGGGTTGATCACTTTGCTCTTGACTAAACAGGTAGTGACAAGTAAGTATGTTAGGTGGATCACTTTGCTCCTGACTAAACAGGTAATGATAAGTAAGTATGTGGGGTTGATCTCTTTGCTCTTGACTAAACAGGTAATGATAAGTAAGTATGTGGGGTTGATCACTTTGCTCTTTACTAAACAGGTAGTGATAAGTAAGTATGTGGGGTTGTTCACTTTGCTCTTGACTAAACAGGTAATGATAAGTAAGTATGTTAGGTAGATCACTTTGCTCTTGACTAAACAGGTAATGCTAAGTAAGTATGTGGGGTTGATCACTTTGCTCTTGACTAAACAGGTAATGATAAGTAAGTATGTGGGGTTGATCGCTAAGAGGAAGAGGAAGAACACCAACATAACTTAGCGACGTTTAGAAATAGTTAGGAAAAGATTAAATCATTGCATTCCTAGAAATGGTTTCACACTCGTATCTAATTTCTTTGACATCACTTCAGAAAGTTTCTGAATGCTAGTCGGTTTCCAGCTAAAACAATTACAACGTTATTCCATGTGATGGTTCATATAATCTTTTACCTTTTAAAAAGATCATGTTTGCAACAACGATGAGCAGAATTTTTATTATGAAATAAGTTGCTTTTGTTCAACAGCTGTGGTTTTCATTAACTTTTCAGGCATTGATTTCAGTCCAGCATGAGATACAAATATTCCAACCGGGTTTCAATGGAACACTTGCTCAGGTAAACTGTCAAATTTTCTTCGTGTCGTATTAAAGTTATAAAACAAAAAAACTTTGTTATAGTGGCTGACGTAAAGCATCTCAATGTACGTTGAAATACAAACTAAGCTGAATCCTTTTATCCCAGGTACAATTTGGCTGATGCAGTTTTATATTGTAAAACATTTTTTTCACTTCCAACAATTCTTGTTCTAATAGGAATATCATTCGGTAATGAACCGTTATGTTTTAGGTCGGCGTATGGAATAACGTTTCCGAAGCGTCGGGCAGGTTGCCAGTCAACTTCACAACAAAACACGAAAAACTGGCTCTGAGAGTTGTTACTATTCACGTACGTATAAACAATAAGGTTTATCAAGACTTACAACAAAATTAAATTATTAAATTAAGCTATATGTATAAATATTGATTGTTCCACACAATATCCTGTGGAATTATCACATTTCATATCGACTTTTAGAAAACAACTGTCGATATCATCAATACACTATTTTAAACATATTTTTATAGGGTAAAGTTCTATCTTTAATGTCATTTAAATTATTCACAGTTGATGATCTTGTGTGTTCTCTTAGCACCCGCCCTACATATACAAGACATCCATTGACGGTGTCATCTCCTATCGCGGGTACGCTGTTGAGTTGCTGAGTAAAATAGCAGAGGCCTCTGGAGTACAGTTCATTATATCTGAGTGCACCACCACAAAGCCTTTTCTAGAGGCCACTGTATTCGCCTGGAATGAATGCATTACAGATATTGTTTCCGGGGTAAGTTTTAAAATTTATCCTATTTGACTGCATTCACTGTGATTAACATTATATGAAAATGATACGCTAGATTTAGAAAAACATATCAATGCATATAAGGCGTTTGAAATATGGACTACTGATTTAACAAATACTTTGTATACGTTGGTTGTCTATAATGTAACAAGACAGTACATATTGTATACGGTAATTTTGTTAATTTCTTCAGAGAGCTGATATGGTTATTGGGCCAATTGGAGTGACTAAGGAGCGAGGAACCATGGTCGACTTCATCTTGCCGTATATTCAGTACGATAGTGTTCAGATGCTTACAAGGGCCAAAAAAGGAAGACGGTTTGACTTTTTGGAAATATTTGACCACTGGTCAATGCTCGTTTGGCTGAGTTGTTTTATTTTCACATCAGTAACATTGTGGATTTATGAAAATGTAATAAAACGGCTGGAAAGGAGGAAGAACCCGGATGTCAAGTACTGCTCCTTCCAAGACGTGGTCTGGTTTATTGTTACTAAGGCGGAATTTGAATGTACGTCGTTAAGCTTAAGAAATCATGGCGTTCCGTTTGCTAACATCGTAACGATACTCCTTTTGTAACTGTTGTACAGTATTGAATGATAATTAAACATCAAACACTTTTACAATAACGAAGAAATGTCACCACATTAGCGTTTCAAGTATTTAAAAAGAAACCACACAATGTTAGGAAATTGGCGAGGTGAGAAAGATCATGATAATTACTTGAAAAGGTTATTTCTCTACGCTTTTTGACGTTATAGGTGACAGTATAGAGATGATCATCATACGGTGTATTCCTCTAATGTAGAAACAGTAGCTCGACCGTGGTGACTCAATCGCGCTGGCCACTGTATACAATGTTAAGTAATATGTGATGTTACTATTTTTTTAATTGGTTAAAAGTACAAATGACGTAAATACAGGAATATTTATTCGAAATATACAAGATAATTCTTTAAAGGTGTTTAGATTGTTATTACTGAACGATTAAAGTACTTAATAATGTAACAATATGGCTAATACTGTCTTGATTCACAGGTGACGGTATCCGGTTATCACGAACAAGTACTAAGTTAATGGGTTTCGGATTCTGGCTGTTGTCTTTCATCCTCCTTTCTGCTTTCACAGCCAATCTGGCTTCCTTTATGACCGTTTATCGTATGGACGACCTACACGTGAAAGCCGTCTCTGATTTGGTGACTACAAAGGATGTGAAGTTTTCTGTAGTATGGGGTTCAGATGAAATGGTGTATTTTGAAAATATGATGAAAACTGAAGAAGCGTTTCACGATCTGTGGAAAAGCTCAAACCTCTACCCCGACAATAAACAATATGCCTTCAACGAGATTGTCTGGGACTATCCAGTTAGAGACACGTTCACGAAAATATGGCAAAGCATGTCAAAGACGGGATTCTTCAATAGTACATCCGAGGCTCTCAGAAGAGTGGCAGAAGGAAACTTTATTCTTCTGTCAAAAACAGAGACTGTGAAATATTTAATATCTCAGAACTGTGATGTTAAGTCGCTAGGGTCACCTATGGGCTATCATCCTGTTGGATTTGCACTGAAAAAAGATTCCAGCCTCTTATCAACTATGTCCAACAGGTAACTGAAACATACAATTGAATGCATTTGAGATTTTACTCTTACATATATATACATCTAATAAAAAAGATGAAATGCCAATGTGAATTAGGTAAGTAAAGATAATAACAAGATCTTACGACCGTATAGCCAAAACAAGCTGCTTTCCCCTTCACATGACTCTTCATGGTAACTTCAAAAGGACATGTAATGGTGACGTCACGATGTTGTCATTTTGAAATAAACATGTGAAGGGTGAAAGCAGCCTGCTTTTATTTTCATTTGGCCATGATATCTTGTTTTTGTTTCTATATATATATTTATTATATATAAATGCTCAAAGCATAGGTGCCTTTAAAATTTGCCCGCGATTTAGTATAACTACTTCTATGTTCAAATACTGATTTCTCAACAAAAGTACAATAATTTCTTAATCCATAATTACTTCTTAGTTCACTATTGATTTATATGTTTTCCCTAACACGATTATTATCATGACCAGCTGTAGAAATGGCAAATATACCCAAAATAAATAAAACGAGTCAGATGACCAGCTTGTATATCCCTTCGGCAAAACACTACGAAAGGCGCTGCTTCTGGCGGATTATATTTTATATGGCTTCCGATGGTATTGTCCATTAAATAATATACATATCATAAATTCTATTTGATTACAGTTTTATGGAAATACAACAGTCTTCTGATGTGGAGAGTTTGAAAAGAAAATGGTGGGAGAACAGAAACTTGCACTGCGATACTGAGGAAATCATACAAGAAATTGGTTTCACTGAAATTGGCTATTGGTTCCTGACCCCCGTATTCGGCATAAGTCTTGGAATTCTTATTCTTGGTATGGAGCGCATCGTCCGGTACAGGATCAGTAGCACAGCCAAGGTAAACATGATAACTGAAGTACGGGTTATGCATTGGAATATCAACGTTATCAATAAACAGTATGTGATAGAAATAAATAATGCATATCAGGCACTATCTTGCAATCACTGTTTAGTATAAATGATTTATTTGGAATATTGCGTTTAACTTGATGAAGGACGGTGTAAATCCAGCTCATTAATAAATATAATGAATTATTATCCCAGATATTTATACTAACAGATATTTTGTCTATATTTTGCGGCAGAAGTACACCGTACGGAATGGCTATTCACCGACCCAGCACTATCGGGACAATGATGGTCCTGGAAGTACACAGGATACAAGTCTCCAAAACAAGGGATTTTCAGAAAATCGTCCTAAAAACTTAACGACTATGGTCCATGATACCAAAGACATGCCACATCTTTAAACAAAAGAACTGTGTTATATTTGAAACTGGTATTTCATATAGATATATCCCCGTTATGTCATGTAAAATATCTTACCATTATGGTGTTTACATTTATCAACGCTATTCCGTGTAAGATTTGTCACGGGTATAACGTGTAAATGATTTCCTGGTATGTCTTCTTTTATATATCTATACATTTTTTGCAATAAAGTGTTTCAATACAAAATGGAATCCTATTTAACTATTGTATACATACAGCAAACTGACTGCTCTACTATACATCCCTGAACCCTGTCGGCTATATATATATATTTCACTAAAAGACAACAAATCGATCCAGCACTATGATATACTCCTGCTGATGGGGTTAACGTGTCACCTTTGATTCGCTAACCAGAAGCCTAATCTACGTATCAGGATGTTTAGCATAGACGTGTTCTGTTCATCAACAAGGCATTTAACCATGTGTTTTCTACTTAAAAGGCTTTGATTTACAGTTGTTATCAAGGTCTGATTTCCGTCATTGCGATTTCGGTATCTTTCATGATAGAAGATTGCTTTTCATTGCTTTTCATTATTTTCAAGAATTTTTAACATGTATTTCTTGTAATGAACAAGGAGCAGAGCGAAATAGCAAGTATTAAGCAACAGTTTAGCTTATATCTACTGTTATCAGTGTCCAAATACGCGTAACATCAATTTTGTGATGAATACACGTTTGATAACACCCTGTGGAGCTGTATTTGACTGTAGATACCCATTGTTTTAATTGTGACGTCACAACTAGGATCTTTCTGTGGTAAGGACACCGCTGATGTCAAATCTATATAAGTCAATAATTATATACATTCACGACCACATCTATTGCCTTTTATCTGACCTCGACATACACACTCGATCTTTACCTTCACAACAGCAAATTTGATCTTACATTGACGTACACGGTCAATAATTACATTCACAACCACATTTATCTTATCGTGACATATTCAGTCAATAACTACATTCACAGCCATATATATTTTATCCTACCGTGACGTACACATTCAATAACTACATTCACAACCATATAATTTGTTTTACCTCGACATACACAGTCAATATATACATTCACATCCATATATAATGTATCTTACCGTGACGTACACAGTGAATAACTACATTCACAACCATATATATTTTATCCTATCGTGACGTACACAATCAATAACTACATTCACAACCACAAATTTCGTTTTACCTCGACATACATAGTCAATATTAGCATTCACAACCATATATTTTGTCTTGCCGTGACGCACACAGACAATATTAGCATTCACAACCATATATTTAGTTTTGCCGTGACGTACACAGACAATATTAGCATTCCCAACCATACATTTTGTCTTGCCGTGACGTACACAGACAATATTAGTATTCACAACCATATATTTTGTCTTGCCGTGACGTCCACAGACAATATTAGCATTCACAACCATATATTTAGTTTTGCCGTGACGTACACAGACAATATTAGCATTCCCAACCATACATTTTGTCTTGCCGTGACGTACACAGACAATATTAGTATTCACAACCATATATTTTGTCTTGCCGTGACGTCCACAGACAATATTAGCATTCACAACCATATATTTTGTCTTTCCGTGACGTACACAGACAATATTAGCATTCACATCCATATATTTTGTCTTGCCGTGACGTACACAGACAAGATTAGCATTCACATCCATATATTTTGTCTTGCCGTGACGTACACAGAAAATATTAGCATTCACAACCATATATTTTGTCTTACCGTGACGTACACAGACAATATTAGCATTCACAACCCTATATTTTGTCTTGCCGTGACGTACACAGACAAGATTAGCATTCACATCCATATATTTTGTCTTGCCGTGACGTACACAGAAAATATTAGCATTCACAACCATATATTTTGTCTTGCAGTGACGTACACAGACAATATTAGCATTCACATCCATATATTTTGTCTTGCCGTGACGTACACAGACAATATTAGCATTAACAGCCATATATTTTGTCTTGCCGTGAAGTACACAGACACTATTAGCATTCACAAACATATATTTTGTCTTGCCGTGACGTACACAGACACTATTAGCATTCACAACCATATATTTTGTCTTGCCATGACGTACACAGACAATATTAGCATTCACAACCCTATATTTTGTCTTGCCGTGACGTACACAGACAAGATTAGCATTCACATCCATATATTTTGTCTTGCCGTGACGTACACAGAAAATATTAGCATTCACAACCATATATTTTGTCTTACCGTGACGTACACAGACAATATTAGCATTCACAATCATATATTTTGTCTTGCCGTGACGTACACAGACATTATTAGCATTCACAACCATATATTTTGTCTTGCCATGACGTACACAGACAATATTAGCATTCACAACCCTATATTTTGTCTTGCCGTGACGTACACAGTCAATATTAGCATTCACAACCATATATTTTGTCTTTCCGTGACGTACACAGACAATATTAGCATTCACAAACATATATTTTGTCTTGCCGTGACTTACACAGACAATATTAGCATTCACAATCATATATTTTGTCTTGCCGTGACGTACACAGACATTATTAGCATTCACAACCATATATTTTGTCTTGCAGTGACGTACACAGACAATATTAGCATTCACAACTATATATTTTGTCTTGCCGTGACGTACACAGACACTATTAGCATTCACAACCATATATTTTGTCTTGCAGTGACGTACACAGACAATATTAGCATTCACATCCATATATTTTGTCTTGCCGTGACGTACACAGAAAATATTAGCATTCACAACCATATATTTTGTCTTACCGTGACGTACACAGACAATATTAGCATTCACATCCATATATTTTGTCTTGCCGTGACGTACACAGAAAATATTAGCATTCACAACCATATATTTTGTCTTGCAGTGACGTACACAGACAATATTAGCATTCACAACTATATATTTTGTCTTGCCGTGACGTACACAGACAATATTAGTATTCACAACCATATATTTTGTCTTGCCGTGACGTCCACAGACAATATTAGCATTCACAACCATATATTTTGTCTTTCCGTGACGTACACAGACAATATTAGCATTCACAAACATATATTTTGTCTTGCCGTGACGTACACAGACAAGATTAGCATTCACATCCATATATTTTGTCTTGCCGTGACGTACACAGAAAATATTAGCATTCACAACCATATATTTTGTCTTGCCGTGACGTACACAGACAATATTAGCATTCACAACCATCCATGTTATCGTACTTTGACATACACAGTCAGTATTTGCAAATAATATTCCGCAGATCTCATTTTTTCAAACTTCGTGATTTATATGTGTTGTCATTTTGTTTTGTCATTTTGTGTCATATATGTTTAATATTTTGCTTTATTTATGCAATCAAAAGATTAGTATGTGTTCCGTAAAAAGGACTTTCAATGCTGATTGCTTTGTAATTAATGGGTTTATCTGGATAATGTAATGATCGTTTGCCCCGTAGCTATTAGTTAAGAACCTAGACAAACATGATGAACATTTATGAAGTATATATAGAATCGAATACCTTACCTAAAAAAGAAAGTTGTTGCAAACTATTTAAATATATTCTTGCAAGTGTAAAATGTTTTTTACTTTTCAGAAACAAACCAATTCAACCTTTATTCAAGAAACAAGGCCGATCTTGCATTTCATACAATTGAATGAGATATCTTATACTCTGTGAAATAAAATTATAATATATTTATTTACGTTATAACATATCTCTATTTATCTTTAATGTGTCAACACTTCGAATATAATCTATGAAATATGATAATCGTTATACATGTTTAGGATATCTAATATAATTAAGATATTTCATACAAAAAATATGTTATATCAAAGATATATTATATCTTATATAAGACAATGTCTCCTCAGTTTCAGATGTTATCCTGACGTTCCTGTTTTTTCAAGGATTTTTTTCGATTTGGGATATTTATGCATTCTGACAAATTTAATTACAAGATCTCTCATAAACATTACAGACAATTGTCTTATTTTGACGATTTCTGCTATGATATATCAAATATCTTTTATAATCTTTTCAAATACACATTTACATTGCTTCTTGAATAAATGTCAAGTTGGCTTGCCGTCCTTCAGACCTACCGGCCGACCGACCGACCAATCGACATTGCACATCTCTGTATCGCAGGAATGAGTAATTATTGACCCGAACGAACAGTTGCTGGTATCCCTGTTGACTCAGCAGTTCATATATAGAACTACGTAAACAGTTGGTGCACATACAATTAATTTTGAATATCATATTTGCATTTAGAATGTCAACCATTATTCTTCCGTTCGTCACTCAATCAAGGTTACTTTCATGATTTGTCGATATTATACAGATGACATAGACAAATCGAATATCAAATCGGGATAGCAGGACACCTGGAAGGGAACAAAGACACGTCAAGGAAACAAAATATCATAAAACATTTTGATAGACTTGGGAAAACCTGGTATAATAAAGACAAAATATCGAAGTGAACATTGTGGTAGACTTGGGAATACTTGGCAAAATGAAGACACAATATCGAAGAAAACATTTTTGGTAGACTTCGAAATACCTAGTATAATAAAGACAAGATATCGAAGTAATCATTTTGGTAGCCTTGGATATACCAATTGTTATAAGGACAAAATATCGAAGTAAACATTTTGGTAGACTTAGAAATACCTGGTGTAATAAAGACAAGATATCGAAGTAATCATTTTGGTAAACTTGGAAATACTTGTGAAATGAAGACAAAATAACGAAGTAAATATTTAGGTAAACTTGGTAATTGCGTGGTATAACGTGTACCTTGTTGTTTCGTTCTCGTTAGTCGTTTGAGACTTGACCTAGATACATGGTGGGTATCATAGCTGTAATGGTCTGATTCTGCTGGTACTTTTTCCAGAGTCTCCATATAAATCTTTCTTTAGTTGCAATTTGCCCCAGCCTTATTGATTTTGAGTTTGATTTACGCTTTTTATTACACTTTTTTATACTGCCGTTTAAATACATTCCAAACTAAACGCAATTTATTTTGATTTTCGAATAATGGATATGTAGCTGACAGCAGTTAGCAACCCCTGTTGGTAAAGTAATTGTAAGAT